AGGCTGTGGCGGGTGACCCTGGAGAGCAGGGGGCAACTACAGACCTCAGGCCCACCGGGACAGATGATCTGCATGGGGCAGGGGTCACCAGGAAGTCCCCTCCAACAATCACACCTCTGCTCTAGGAGCCACAAATTCCTGTAGTGGCCACCAGTCCCCAGGGCTACTGAAACTTGGACAGTGGCTGGTCCAAACTGGCATGTGTCGGAAGAATCAAAAGACACACTGGCATTTGGAAAGAAACTTGGTAGTACAAAAAGATTCTAGTTACTTACTTTAAACTGTAAAACTAATTTTTAAAATAGTGATTATATGTTGAAATAATATTGTAGATGGATCGGCTGAATTAAAAAAAAAAAAAATTAGTAAGACCCGGCGTGGTAGTCTAGCAGCTAAAGTCTCGCCTTGTACATGCAAGGATCCCACATGGGCGCCGGTTTTAATCCCAGCAGCTCCACTTCCCATCCAGTTCCCTGCTTGTGGCCTGAGAAAGCAGCTGAGGATGGCCCTGGGGATCTTGCACCCATGTGGGAGACCCGGAAGATATTCTGGTCTCCTGTCTCCAGATTGGCTCAGCTCTGGCCGTTGCAGCCACTTGGGGAATGAATCATCAGACAGAAGATCTTCCTCTCTGTCTCTTCCCCTCTCTGTATATGTGACTTTGTAACAAAAACAAATAAATCTTTTTTAAAAAATTAGTAAGTGGGGCTGGCTTTGTGAGGCAGCTGGTTAAGCTGCGCTGCTTATAACCTTGGCATCCCATGTGAGCGCCCATTCAAGTCCTGGCTGCTCCTCTTCCAGTCCAGCTCCCTGCCGCCCTGCTGGGGAGGCAGCAGAAGACGGCCCAAGTGCTCAGGCCCCCCACCCACTCAGGAGACCCAGATGGAGTCCCAAGTTGCCTGGTCCGTCTCCAGCCTTGTGACCATTTAGAGAATGAATCAGCAAAAGAAAGATAGTCTTTCCTCACCCTCCCCCATAGTAATTCTACCTTTCAAATAAATAAATCTTTTTTAAAAAAAAAATAAGAAAAGTATATTCACCTGTTTCTTTCACTTGTATAATGTGTCTGCTAAAAAAAATTGAGAATGGCAATGTTGCTGATGTTGCATTTCCAAGGCACCGGGGGTCTTCAGGGCTCATTTATTCAACACAATTTTATTGAGTGCCAGCTACCTGCCAGGCGAGGCGTGAAGGATTAGAAGGTGAGCAAAAACAGAGCCTGTCTTTGGTTTCCTGGAGTTTGCGGTAATCAAATAATCACTCGGATGGCAGCTGAATTGCCAAGAGACTGAGTGCTCTGATGTGGAGGGGCAGAGCAGGCTGCTGCCGGAGCTGAATGGAGGAACTGACTGGGGTCCGGCACTCAAGCAAAGGCTGGTGGAGGCAGCATGGCAGGGCCATGTTAAGGGTGGGAGAGGCAGGAGGATATTTAGAAAGGAAAAGCAGAGGGTTTCTGCCCACTGCAGGGAGGGGTGCACAGGAAACCAACGGAGCAAGATTCCCATGTCTGCCAGGAGCACTTGGCCAGTGTAGCCACTGCCTGACCCTGCCCGCACCCCCAGCATCACACCTGTTGGGAGCAGCTCAGAGCCCCCTCTTCTGAGCTCTTCTCACCATCCTGCTGCTCTCTCCTTGATGTTTGGCCTATCCTGTCCCATCTTGCCTCGTGGTCACCCTCCTACACACACACATGCACACGCACACGTATACACACCTATTCTGCAGCCAGAACTGGTGTCACCCGAAATACAGATCTACTGACAGCACCCAAGATTCTCAAAACAGAGTCCAGACCTTTCAGCAAGGCTCCTCCTGAGCCACCCTCCTCTCCACTCTGCTGTCCTCCCTCCCAGTTACCCCCACCCCACCCTGCCCAGTGCTCTGGCCTCTCGACCTCCAGAGGCCTTTGCTCAGAACCTCTCCTCCCCTGGCCTGCTAATTCCACTCTCCTTACAGGCTCAGCTCACTGTCACTTCTTTGAGAAACCTTTCCTGGTGCCTGGCATGAGCGAGTTCATACCAGGACACCCCACTAGCACCCCAACTGACCTGGCAATGCCCAGGGGCCAGAGCCCTCCTGCCCTCAACACTGCCCCCTGCAGGCAGGCCTGTGCTCTCTCGTTGGTATCTCAGGACAGCCACTGAATCTCCCAAGCCTGGCCTGAGGCTCACTTAAGGAAAAGACAGCACTCCCCCAACAGAATGGGGGCTCCCTTAGCCGGGATTACTGCCTTCCCAAATCAAATGAGAAGGACCCCCCCAAGTCTGGGATCATGGTGGGGTATCTCAACACACAGACTGGCACTCCATCACTCGAGGTGCTTTCCAAAGTCTGGGATCAGTTCTCCCCTCTTCTTCCCACAGTCCCCACAGCTTCCTCCCACCCCTTGTCTCACTCTTGGCTGGGGCCCCACTGGCCCTTCTCCCTGGTCCTGGCGCTCACACAGCCTCCCCCTTCCTGGGAAGAACAAGCCTCCCCCAGCCATTCCCCAATGACCATGAATCCATCTCACCAGAACACCTACCCTGGCCACCAGCAGGACTTGGTGGCTAAGACCACCAGTATGGGCAGCCTCAAGAGAGAGATGGAGAGGCACAAGCTTGGGCCAGGCAGGTCTCCCAATTCAGGCTGGCAGGAGCCTAAGTTAAGATCTGCCCACCAGAGCTCCAAGGGAGGGGCCTCCTCCTTGCCTAACTGCAAGCTGGGCCAGCGAGACTCCTGCCAGGCCATCTGGAGTCAGCGCTGTGTGTGTGTGTGCGCACACGTGTGCATGTGTCCCAGGCCATGTGGGTGGCAGGGAGTCTGCGGGGTTGTGACCTCGCCCTCCTAGCAACCCTCTGGCTCCCTTGTGGTCAGTCTCACTCTTGACATCTGGTCAAGTTCACAGCTGGCCAGCTTCCTGCGTGGCCGTTTTCACTTTCCCTCTCCCAGATCTGGGGGCAAGAGGCCTCCGCTTCTTCTCTGCCCCGGCATTCCGTGGCCACACATGTGAACTTGCTGGCTTTCTGCTAAAACCGTCTTTGTTTCAGAGAAGAAAAATAGGACAGGAATTCACCAAGTTGGAGACTTGGGTAACACACACACACCCCTCAATCCACGAGTATTTCCAGAAAATCTCTTGGCACGATTTTTCTTTCTTTGCTATTTAATGTTCATCACTTATGATTTATGTGTAGGTTTCAGGAGGGCCCAAGAAAAGATTACACAGAATGCAGAGGTCAGGGCAGGGCTGATGGGGAAGGTAACGGGGGTCTGGAGCTTACAGCCCTCAGCTGGCGGGGTGGGGGGAGGGAGGTGGCCAAGAGGGTTCCATCTCAGCCGAGAGGGAGATAGGAAGGACCCCAAAACAGAACACATGCTCAGACATACCTACAGTCCCCCAACCTGCACCCCACGTGCTGGGGAGGAAAATAAATACACCCAGGCTCCATCCCACTCCCCAGGTGCATGGGGGAGGAGGGGCCAGCAGGTGAGTTTCCTCCTCTCCATCCTAGGTTGGGGGCAACGGAACGCCTTCTAGGTGCAGCGCTACAAGACCCCTGCATAGGTTGGGTGTGCGCCTCATCGGGGGCGCCTTCTCACTAAATACAGGGGCAGCCCACTCAGTCCAACATCAAGCAAAGCAGAACAGGCCAGGAATGGGCCGGCAATGCCCCTCAGAGTCCTCACGGCTCTTTTCTGGCTGAGCTTAGGGCAAGTCGGTCCCTCGCAGGTCCCCTAGGGACAGCCAGAACTGGCTCCTGGCCGCATCCCTCACTCAGTCCCTTCCTGCTACATTTTCACACTGGCTCACACCTGTCTTCAGCACAGGTTTGAGGGCCTAGCCGTTCTCATGCTTGCAGAGGTGGGGAGGGGAGCCTGGAGTGTGGAGCATTCCTCCACGTGCAGGTTCTTGGAACACAGATACCGCCGCTGCCGGCTCAAGCCCCAGTAGCCCGAGACCTGCCAAACCTCGGGGCAAGGGAAGACAGCCGGCCAGCTCGGAACTCAGTTCCCTCCCAGGCATCTTTGGAAGCTGCCCCAGGAAGGATCTCATGAAGAAAAGCGTGTGTGTGTGTGTGTGTGTGTGTGTGTGTGTGTGTGTGTGTGTGTGTAGGATGGAATAGGGAGTCCTTAGTCCCTGACTCCTAGGGCTGATTCTAGGGGTCAAGGTCAGCTCCAGATCTGTGCTGAGGCTGCAGGTGCCACACTGATGTGCCTAACACAGATGGGGGACAGGCAAGAGAAGAGCAGCACCCTCTTCCCCAAGCCCCAAACCTGACTTTGCCATGATGGATGGATGGATGGATGGATGGATGGAGCAGGCCACGGGCAATCAGCCTATGTCTGCAGCGGTCTAAGACAGTGGAGGAAGGCATTGCCCAAAACATCACTTTGCTTGCCTCCTCAGCCCTCAAGCAAACCTGAGGCCTCTCACATAGAGGAAGATACCAGCCCACGCTTGCCTCCCCTATTGCTGGGCACCTTTGGGCAATTCACGGCCTCTCTCTGGGCCTCACTGTCCTGTGTGTAGGAGTGGGGTGACTTGGTTTTCAGAACCCCTTGCAACTCAGGTCTCTGCTCCTCTCCAGCTCCAGCCCCAGCCAGAGGGGCAAGGAGAGCCCAGGGAATTTGTTGCGGGGGCGGGGACACTAAAGGAGGGTTTAGGCCCCTGCGCTCCATGCTCCCTGGTCCCCAAGTTCACAGTGTCAAGTCCATGGCTCTGTTCCTTGGGCCCTCCTTCTGAGTTTCGAGGGCTTGTCACCACCACCACCCTCAACCATTGCTGGCATCAGTCCTGGGAAAGGACACCAGCAGTGTGGAGCTAAGGGAAGAGGTGTCCTGGGGTACAGGGGGCAGGGGTGGGGGCAAGCAGCAGTGAGGGGACACGTCTCAACCACTGCAAGGGAGCAGGATAAGAAGCAAGGGGGCTACAAAAGGGGAGCAGCAACAGGGCTGGGGCCTGGGAACCCCACACTCCGAGGCCTTGCCTAAGGAGAGCTGGGCTCTGGTGGCTGGCTCACCCCGGGGTGGGGTATGAGGGGCGGGCTCCTGGGGATTGGCTGGAGCATCTCTCATTGGCGCGTAGGGGTGCGGCAGGGGCTCCCCAGGGCAGCGGCGGCGGCTCACACTGGGGACGTGGCTGTAGACTCACTGCACAGGCTCTCCACGATGTCAGCTCGCTGGATGCGGCGCAGTGCAGCCAGGAGGGCATCCAGTGTGGCGCTGTCCTGGGCAGCCCAGCTGGCCATCAGGGCGTGGGCAGGATAAGCCTCATGCGTGAAGGAGTCTATGTGCTCAGGTGGGTAACCCAGCTCGCCTGCCAGGTGCCGCCAGGTGTCCCCCGCCGAACCGTCAAGCAGCTTCTCTACCTCCTCGCGCTTGGCAGGTGGCAGGCTGCTGTAAAGGCCTCCGTCACCCTTCAGGGCTGCTGAAAAACCGGAAGACATCAGCACCCATGCAGCCCCTTCCCCCACAGCAGGGGGTGGGGAATACAGGAGAAACAGAAGCAGGTCCTGCGTGGGGGTGGGGGTCAAAGCTGTGGAGGGGCCCTGGGGCTTGCTGACTCATTGTCCCTCCTTCACTGGCACTGTCTCAGCTGCTAGGGCTCCCAGCAGTTAATCAAGGCAGAGGAGGAGATGGGGCTGCTCAGGCCAGGCACCTGCTGCCACGGCTGTGGCCAGGCTGGGGGCCACTGATTAGGGCACAGACTTCTTGCGGTCCCCAGAAATGCAGGGTAGGAGGCAAATTGCAGCTACTTCGGGTAGTAATTAGTCCCCAGGGAGGACAATTAGCTTGATGAGCCTGGAAGCTCTGATTTGTAAAAGTCTCCACTTCCCCATATTCCCCTGGAAAGCCCAAGTCTTTCCTACCCCCTCACCGCAGGGGAGCCGCCCTTTTCCCCCAGTCCCATCCTGGTCACACCTGCCTCCCTCTCAGGTCCCATCCTCCCCCGCCCTCAGTGTCCAGGCTTCCAGGTGCTCACCCTGGGCAGAGGCTGTCTGCGTGTGCGGCTGCTGGTCATGCAGGCTCTGACTGTCCACGGAGATGCCGCTGTCACTGTGCAGTTTTTCTCCCTCAGGTGGGGGCGTCTGGTTCACGGGGCGGCTGTCGGCTCCTTGCTTGCTCTGCTTACAGCTGTTCCACCTGCAGCAGGGCACAGGCCTAGTCAATGGAGGGACCTGGGCTTCAACAACGAGCACATGGGAGGGGCCCAACTAGCGCTCCAGCTCAGGATCAAAGGTGTCTGTTTCTTTAACTGTCCACGGCCTGCCTGACAGGACACTTTACCAGCGCTGGGTAGACATTTATGAGATGAATAGCACACACATAAATGAGCTCCCAGGAATGCCGCTTTCCTGGGTCTACCCTCTTAAAATACTACCACATGTGAGCCGTCACATATACAAGGATTTCCTCTGCAATTATAAGCAATAACAAAAAGCTGAACTCAAGCCAAATGTCCATCCACAGGGGACTGACTAAACAAACATGGATGCATGCACATCCATCAAGGAGTGGCTTCCAGTGCTTAGCTGGTCTGGACATCCTGAGCCCCTCCAGGATGATGCAGTGGAGAAGAGAGGGGCCGGACAGGTATGGTGTAGAGCTTCACAAAAACCCGTGTGCTTAGGTGTCATTATGAGAAGTTTTATATACATAGGTTTATTTCACAAATCCACAGCAAATGCTTGGAAAAGGAAGCGTCCAGACTTTTCAAGAGGGGGAGGATGGCGGAGATGAAAGGGGTTTTTAGGTTCTGCTTTGGAAGACGTCTTGTTTGCATTTTCTTAAACAAGCCTGGATTACTTTGATGATTAAAAAAATAATAATAATGGAAGATGCATTTAAAACTTGAAAGTGCACGCTCGAATAAGAGTTCCTGCACGCTCGGGATTCCTGCAAGTGGAGGCCACTGGATCCCAATGTGACGTGGGTGGGGGAGGGAACTCTGGGGGCAATGGGGCAATGGCTGTCAGGGAGAGGGGGAGGTTGGTGACACTACAGGCAGGAAGATGAGGGGAGAGGCGGGGAGGGAAGGGAACATGGGAGCAGGCAAAGGCTGAGCTGGGACAGGTCAGGTACCTTGCCACCTGCTGACCCCCTATGCCCTGGAACAGGGCAGAGAGAGGTGGAGCTTGGTTTGGGATCTAACGGGTGTGCATGCTTTCAGGTCAAAGTCAGAGCAAGGTGCCTCTGGAGGGCACACATGCCCCCTCTCACCTCTTGAAGGCGATGTAGGCCACAAGGCCAACGACCACAGCAGCCAGAATGGAGCAGTAGACCGGGATGAGGCTGTCGGCAGTGCCCCGGGTCACCACGGGCTGGGAGCTGCCCATTACGGTGGTCACCACATCCGCTGCTGTGCTGGCCAGCAGCTCTTGTTCCGGAGGTCCCTCAGGCGCCTGGGTGCTGGGGGCCATGCTGTCCGAGCCCTCCGGGGGCGGGGACCGTGTCATCCACCGGCCAGGAATCTCTGGGAGAAAGCCACAGGAGTGAAGGTCCATCCCTCCTCTGTCCCTCCTGGCCTTGGCTGCTTCTATGTCCAACTGTTATGCCCAGGGCTATGTGTATGATGGGAGGATAGTGGAAAAGCAGGACCTCTACTTCCCCGTCTGTAGAATGGGAATATTCGATGGTTTCTAAAGTCTTCCTTTGATTGCCAATCGGGGTCTAAATTCTATTCTGCCTTCCTCTGGAAACCCGGAGGCCTGGTTCAAATACATAGAAGCTTTGCCCTTGAGAAGTCCCAAACTGGAGTCACTCTGGTTGCCCACTCTAAGTCATTCACACTCACCAGAGGTGCTTTCCCCATGCCACCTCCTCAAGAGCTGGCATCAATCCCAGTTCCTGTCTTTGATGCCCCAGGCTCCAGCCTCCAGCTGAAGGTGCAGTGGGTGGCTGGCTTGCTTGTTCTTCCAGGCAGTCTTGGCCAGCCATCAGATTACTTCCTGCCCTGCTTGGTCCAAGCCTGATCCTGCCACTCAGGGAAGCCCGAGTTTGAGCCCTGCTTACAGAAAGCAGAGGAAGGTGGGGAGAGGCCTCACAAGGCAGGTACTGCCCACAGCCTCAGGGGAAGGCAGACTGTACCTGGCCACCCACCTAGACCCTCTGGTGCCAGCTTGGCATTGCCAGTCTCCCTGGCAGAGACCCCAATACCTCCTGGCACCAGCAGGTGGGTTTTCCATCTGCCCCTGAGATGGGGCCAGTGCTGGAGGGAGGCAGGGAGCGGGGTGTGGGCTCTGGCTGGCCTGGGGGTGCTTGTCTGGGCAAAGCTGCCTATCCCATCCATCCTCGCTTCCCACGCCTGGGGCAGGCAGGGACAGCAGACAGAACATGCCAAAGGGGTGATGGGGAGGGCAGCATGCTCTCCAGCTCTGCTCCACCCAGTCCTCTGCCCACCCAGGTTGGAGCCTGAGTGGCCCACTGGCCTTGAGGCCTCCTCCTGCGTTCAAGATGAGAATGCTTCAAAGGCCCCCATTTTCAGCACCCTCCAAAGGAGAAAGGTCTCCAGATGTGAAGCTGGACTCCATCTGGATGGCACTGGGGAGGGGGCCACCATCTGCCGCCCATCCTCCCCTCCCCTTTGTCCTGGGGAGACGGGGGAGACACAGCACTGTCTCCTGGCGACCTCATTCCTGGCCCTGGATTAGGGAGAGTCTTTATGGGGTTCTGCTAGTGGACAGGGCAAGCTGGGGGCTGCCAGAGCTGAAGGTTGAGGGTGTAGCATAGGTCAATTCAGACCACCCAGCCCACAGGCTGATGAGGGGTGTGGAGGAGAGGGTGTCTGCCCTGGGGCAGGAAAGTGAGAGAGGGCACAGGGACAAGTCAGACCAGTGCGCCTGCTTCATCCTGCCACCCCCTCTGATGCGGGCTGGGATGAGACCCAGATGTGGTGACGTCCACTCGCATTCCAGCCCGCTAAGCCCCTGGCAGGTCCTGACAGCCGTTTTCCGGAACGGGAGCTGTATGACTTGGAGATAGGAGGAGAAACCTGGTGACCCCTTCCTGAGCCTGAATTTCACTGGTGGGGGGTTGGTAAGGGATGGAGGGTGGGAGGCGGGGGTGGCCCTCAGCCCTGAAATGGGTAAGTCACCATGTTGACACCTGGAATGTATCCACAGGAAAGCCGGTGCCCCAAAATAAGGATCAGATTCTATTTCCTGAAGGGGTCCCTGGGCCCCAGCTGGCCCCCAGAGCTGACATTTTAACCCCTTAGGGGCTGGAGCTGAATGGGGAGCAAGAACAGGGCAAACACAGCCCCTGGTGGGGGGTCGGGGATGAAGGGGGGCACACTACTCCTTCAGGGTAGGCTGGGTGAGTGGGGTGGCACCTGCAAGGCACCCAGGAACTCCCCAAAGGCAAGGCCCTCTCCTCCCTTGAAGCTGCCTTCCTCGGCTCTCATCACTCCCCTGACCAAGGCCCACACCACTCCACTTAGACTCGTCCAGTCTTGCCCCGTGCCTGCTGCCTGGCTGCAGGGATCCCTCCCAGTTCCACCTTGTGCCTACCTCCCGGGCCCCAGGCAGTCACCCCGGAACCTCCCCATCCTCCCCTGCTTCTCTACTTTCACACACCTGGCCTCCACCCAGCATCAGAGTCTCCTCTGCCTGCCCTGAGCCTCCAGGCTCAGATCCCAGGGCTTGGAGAGCACGCATGAGTGTGTGTATGGGGCGGGGGGGTGGGGTGGGGGGGCGTATCAGCCCTGGGGCACCCCAGGACAGGGGAGGGGAAGGGGCACGGCTGATGGAAGGTGGAGGCTGTGCTGTCTTAGTCAGCGTGGGGGTTTCCAAAGTTCCCTCTGCTGGGTGAGATCTTGGGCCCATCTCTGGCATGTTTTTCTCCTGTCAAACTGGGTGCTTCCTGTAGGAGGTGCTGCATTACCTGGCTCAGTAGGAGCCCGAGGCCAGGGGTTGATAGAAGGTTGATTGGCAACCTCTCCTTGCTGGGGGAAAGCCCACCTGCCTAACCGCTAGCTGAGACCCAAACAGTCCTGCGTCCTTGTTCGTCTCACGCATCTGCTGGAGTCCCTGTGCCCGACTGAGGTGAGCACTCCACACAGGGACTGCCAGCCCTCCATTCAGACCCTCAGCTGCCCCTTGCCAGCCCCAGTATGTGTTCCCTGCCCTGGAGAACCAAGGGGACCACGTGGCACCCACACTGGGGACAGGTGCAGAGATGGAGGGGACAGTGGATTCCCTGGTAAAACCTCAGAACCAAGGAGTCCTACCAACCCCTCAGTCCTCTAGCCCTTCCCCGCTTCGCAGGGCCTGCCTCCAAGGTCCCACAAGTCTTGCTCTGTGTCCTGCAGCCATCTTCTGGCCGCCATCTGCTGCCATCCAATCCCTGGCTGGCAGCTGCGGAGGGAAGGGAGAACTCCTGGGAACCTTAGAGGGCGGGAAAAGGAGCGGGGGTCCTTTGGTGGGCTGGGCTTCCTCCCAGCAAGGACAGAGCCTCAGGGCCAGTGCACCCCCAGCTCTAGGGTCTGAGAGGTGTCCCAATAACCCAGGTGGGATCCGCCCACTGCCCACATCACCACCACCCTGCTCACCCTCACACTCGGCGTCTGCCCAGCGTGTGCACTCGCGTAGCTGGCGCTCAGTGTCTTCACACACGGTGCACGGCAGGCACGGGTCCACGTGGTTGGCCTCATCAGAGTAGGTGCCGTCGGGGCACTCCTCGCACACGGTATTCTGCTTGTCCTGGCAGGAGAACACCAGGCCCGAGCCCGCCTCGCACACCCGACACGCCTCGCAGCGCCCGGTCGCCTCATCTTGGTAGTAGCCGTAGGCGCAGCGACACACGGCATCGTCAGCCTCCACGCACGGCGCCGACATGCTCTGCAGACCCACGCACTCGGTGCACGGCTTGCACGGCTCAGTGGCGCTCACCACGTCGGAGAATGTCACACCTGCAGGCACAGGGCGGGTGGTGGGAACTCTGGGGTCTAGGTGTCGCCTGGGATTTCTTCCCACTCCCGTGGTCCCAGGATCACTGGAGTCTCCAAAGCTGTGACCTGTGGCCAAGACACCCCCACCCTCTTGCAAGGGCCCGGAAGTTCAGGCCTGAGGCTCCCCTGGGGCAGCACAGCTGGTGCCGGTAAATTTCTTGGCAAATGTTCTCCCCTGGTTCTCACAATGAGTAAGGAATAAGCGATCACAGGCTGCACCCAGCCTTCCCCCAGGGGCTGAGCAGGGCTCTGAGCCCAACGCGGCACGCAACCTCTCCTTAGAGCACGCAACCTCTCCCAGTGACTACCCAGAGTACTTCCCCAAGCAGCTGAAGGGCTTGGCCAAGAGGGGGAAGACAGCTGACTCCAGGGGAGCCAGAGAATTCAAGGACAGACGCCCTGCGGGGCCGAGGCTGGAAAGCCACACTCCCTGACCCTTTCAAATGGCACCAAGAGGAGATTCCCAAGCTCCCTCCTGACTCGTGCTTGTAATTAATGAATGCATGTGAGCTCCGGATTGAGGGGAGGGGCAGGAACTCAGAGGGGCTGGACTAGCTTCTCCCTCCCCCTCCCACCCCCCACACACCCTTTTCATATCCAGGGTGGAGGTTGCAGCTGGAATCCCAGAGTGGCCAGCCTTGCTCCCAGGGTAGGTGGAGGTGGACCTGGGAAGGCCCGCCAAGGATAGCAGGCTACCAGTGGGGTCTGGTCCCTCCCTCATCTGCAAGCATGGTGGTTAGGGCAGGAGTGGGATGCTGCAGAGAGAGAGCAGCAGAAATGGGGTGGGGGAAGGGCGGAGCAGCATGAGGAAGGTTTCTGTTTCGAGTCAGCTCTGACAAGAGATTCTGGTTGCCTTCCCAAGAGAACCAGTGGCTCAGAACTCCAAACCTACTTGCACCACTTGCTTGCTATGCGACTCCGAGTGCTGTGCCCCACCTCTCTGAGCCTTATTCTTCTTCTGCAAAGTAGGGACTGCTATCCCCCTTCACAGAGGGAGTGAGAGGAACCAATGAAGTTCAGCTATAATTTTTCTTTTAGATTTATTTATTTTTATTGAAAAGGCAGATATACAGAGAGGAGGAGAGACAGAGAGGAAGATCTTCCGCCCACTGACTCACTGCCAAAGTGGCCACAATGGCTAGAGCTGAGCCAATCTGAAGCCAGGAGCCAGGAGTTTCTTCCGGGTCTCCCACGTGGGTGCAGGATCCTCAAGCTTTGGACTGTCCTCAACTGCTTTCCCAGGCCACAGGCAGAGAGCTGGATGGGAAGTGGAACTGCTGGGATTGGAACCGGCATCCATACGGGATCTCTGCACGTTCAAGGCGAGGACTTTAACCACCGCGCTATCACACCAGGCCCATTCAGCTATAATTTTGACCCTGGGCACAGGATGGCCAGTGTGAATCAGAGTTCAACCACCACATGAGACACCTGCCTCCCAATCCAAATCCCTGCTAATACACTGGGAAGCAGCAGAAGATGCTCCAAGCCCTCAGGTTCCTGCATCCATGTGGGAGACCCGGATGAAACTCCTGACTCCTGCCTTCAGCCTGGCCCAGCCCTGCGGCTGTTATGGACGTGTGGGGAGTGAACCAGCAAATGGTAGATCGATCGATCTCTCTCCATCCCCCTGCTCACCCGCGTCCCTGCAAGTCACTCTGCCTTTCAAATGAATAAATAAATCTTAAAAGGCACTTAGCACACTGCCAGGATCCTTCAGTGGCTGGGCCCCAGGGGAGAGAGTGATGGTGAGTGCCGTGGATTTGGGCTGAGGGTGCAGTCAGAAAACAGCAGGAACTTCCAAGCAAACAGCCGAGGGGGCTTGGCTGGCTGGCCCGGGGTTGAAGAGTGGGTCTGGGGAAGAGAGCCCTCATCATGGGAAAACAGAGAAGGCCCAGGAAACTCCTGGGGGAGGGTTTTAGGTGGTGTGAAAAATGTGGTTGTTTTTGGCAGAGAATAAAGGCAAGAGCTTAATAGGTTTCCTTGTGGAAACATTTTGAGGGTAGAGGCAAAGCCCACTGGGCTCTCCATGCCATAAAGCGGGCTTGTAAAGGCAGCCTGTTAACCCAGCCAGGGGTGGGGAGGGGCCGCAGCAGGGAGGGAGGAGGGGGTAGAGCAGAGAGAGTGGGAAGGAAGGTTCCCCAAACCACACTGGGGCCTGGGGCCGTGTGAGAGTGTCAGGTTGTGGGGGTTCCAGAATGCTGATAGTTGACACATCTGTCCATTGAGACAGACCTTGTTAGAGCAGAGCCAGGGCATGTGGCATCCCTCCATGGGGCAGTGGGGTGAGAGCGTGTTTGGAGCCAACTAGGGAGTCAGGGTTAGTCAAAGGACAGACAGACTGGGGTGTAGAGGGGATGTCCGGACATACGACCAAGCCAGCAGGTGAGTATTGACTTCCATCGCCTACACTCTTATTCCCAGTGGGTTAAAGGATAGCTTCAATAGGGTGTCCAGCAGTCCTCTAAGCGGGCATCAAGTGCCAGGCAGAGGGCAGGGAAATAAAGGCCCTGCTTTAAGGCAGCAGGGGGAGACTGGGCCATGCAGCAAGGCCTGCGACTCCAGACTGCACACAGGATCCAGACCCAGTACAAGGTCGGGGCCAGGAAGCCTGCACTCACCATGCCTATGTATGTACACCCTCCAGTCCAGGGCGGGATTCTTCCCTCCTGGAGGAAACCTTGGGCAGCAATGGCCATGGTACCCTTCCCCCTGCCCCCATGTCACCCCACAGTAAGGATGAGTTCATAGTGTCCCAACCCCTATCCTTGGAAACCTCACTTCCCTGGTCTGCATAAAAACACAAACAAAAACACAGTTGGCCAGGGGGAGGGGTGGCCTCACCCTCACAGGATCCCCCAAGGTCAGTCTCCAGGGCAGCCCGGATTTGATCCGCTCCCCCAAGCCCACGGAAGGTCAGTGGCAATCATTGATTTTGCAGTGGCTATTTTTAGCTGGACTTGGCATCAGCTTCTCTTCCGTACAGAACCACGCCCCTCTTCCCCACGGCTCTCTGCTAGAAACTGGGAGAGAGCACCCCCACGGGGGGGGGGCGGGATTTCCCCATCAGGCTCCCCCTCCTCCATCTGCACCTATCCCTCACCCATTCTCAGATTCTCTGCCCGCAGGCCCACTCTGGGGGCTAAGCTATAGGGTGGGTGGGAGTCCTTGCCTGGAAGCAGAGAATTTAGGACTCTAATGTGCATGTTCTCTACTGCTCATCTCCTGCCAGAATCCCTCCCTTCCCTGCCTCCCCTCACTGCCCGCTCCCCTTTACTCACTGTCCAGGCAGGGTTCACACACAGTCTGGTTGGCTCCGCACGGCTGGGCCACACCCTCGCCCAGGTTGCAGGCTTTGCAGCACTCGCCACCGTGGGTATACAGGTTGGTAGGGCATGCTTCCTTGGCACCTCCGAGGGACACCTGGGTATAGGGCAATCAGAGGGTCAAAATGGCAACAGAAGAGGGAGGGCAGGGATCAGATGCACCCCTCCTAATATCTTTTATTGGAACCACCTGGGCTGGGGTGAACTCAGCAGGCAGGCCTCAGGCACATCAAAGCTGGTGGGGCAGGGGTGGGGGAGTGCGAGACAGGGGAGGGAAGCTGGTGGGGGACAGCATGCTTTGCAGACTGCCAGGTGGGGCCAGGCTAGAGGCTCAGATACTAACCTCCTGCAAATTTCATCTTGGAAATGGCAGCTACCCCCTGGGATCTTCAGGACACACTACATGGGCACAACAGCCTGGGCAGAGCCCAGTGCCTGCTATTCATGAATGGCTGCATAGGATGCAGCCTACACAGCCTACAGAGAGACCAGGGGCCAAGCAGGGCTGAAATCTGGCCCAAAGTCCACTTACTAAGCTTTGCACCTGCAGAACTCCATCTACCCAGAGGCCCTCCAGGTCCTTCATTCCATAGATGAGCATCAAAGGGGGTGTGTCTGGATTCAAGGACTCAGGCAGAGGAATGGGGGCTGGAGTTCAAGCTGACTCTGAATGAGGGGGACAGTGGGGAGGTCCGGCCAGCCTCACCTTCCCTCTCTGTGTCTTCACCTCTCTGCACAGGAAAAGATGGTGACAGACTGGTGCCAGGGCAAGGGAGCAGTCAGGCAGCAAGAGGCTGGAGCCCAGAAAGGGATGCCGAAGTCGGCTGTCACCACCCAGCAGCCCGGCCCCCTAGGGTTTGATTTCCTGGCACCAGCCCTGGAATGAGGGGAAAGCCAAGTCAGATTCCTGCCACTGAAGCTTCTTTCTCATGGATGGAACGATTTAGCACCAGGGTCCCTAGAGGAAGGGGCTGCCGGAGATTTGCTTTATATTTCTGTTCCTTTAAAAAAAAAAAACTTGATGTCTAATAAAACTCCAAAGCCTGCTTAGCTGGTTCCAGACTGTGCAACGCCGCCCCCTCCCCCGCCCCTCCCTGTTTGATGCTGAGCTGTGTGGGTCCTTGGGCCAAGGGACCACTGGAGAGAGCTTTACAAGGTCACAGGAGCATTCATCTGTCTCCGTGTTGGCCAGATCCTGGCCGGACATGTCCTCACCTCCAGTCCTTTCAGAAATCCTGCGTTCCCAGCAGGGCTTGATGGGGAAGAAAAATGGGGAAGCAGGGCAAGGGACACAGTTTGGGTTGAGTTGGGAGGCAGGCTGTAGTCCTCAATTTCCCAGGTAATAGTGGCATAAGGTGCTGGAAACATGTGCAAACCAGCAGCCTTGGGGTTGCAGATGCAGGCTGTGCCCCAGCAGGGGAGGTTCTCCGGAAGGCTCTGTTCTGATCTATTTTCATCCTGCAGGGCTCTGCTTAAACAGCACTTCCTCGAGGAAGTGGTCCTGCTTTCTCCACCCCTCCCAGATGAGGAGATACATTCATTCTCTCTCTCTCTCTCTCTCTCTCTCTCTCTCTCTCTGTCTCCCTTTCTCTCTCTCTGTGTCACACCCACCCTAGTCTCTGCAGCATCCGTGTTGCTACACTGTCAGCTCCCCTCCGCCCTTGCCCCCCATCCTGATATAGAATTTAACAACATGAAGCTACTGTGTGACCTCAGCTAACTGGAACTCTGGGCCTAGGAGTCTGGATAACTTATCTTTCAGGCCAGCACCCACTGGGGGAATGGTGTCTTGTTCTCGGCACGGCGGCTTCAGCTTTGTCTGTCCCTGGGACACACCTGCCTGGTGTCCCTATGCCTCATGTGCAGTTGGAGCCAGACAGTGGAGCTGTGGGCTCTGTATCTCAAATGACCATGCTTTTGTCTTTTTTAATTCTTCTGTTGGCTGCTGTGGAGTTTGCTTCCTGCTCCCTTCCTGTGAAGGTGTCAGCTGTCACTTCTTGCTGGTTGCTGTGTGACCTGGGGCAGTCCCCACCCCATTCCGGAACCCACCAGATCTAATGGCATCTTTAGGTTCCCAGGTGAGCGTCTAGGCTAGAAAGGTGCATCATGGGCACCAGAAAGGGTACATGTGTGAGCTCTGGTGCCTGCCTCCTGAGCTCCAGATCCTGGTCCACCGCCTGCAGCTGGGAGACCTGGGACAGGTTCTGAGTTTCTCTGTGCTTTGGCACCTGCTCTGTAAGGAGCTAGCACAGCTTGGAATCTCTCTTCCATTCCCAAGGTCTGTCTGGATGCCTGTGTGACTTGGGGCAATGTTCCAGTTCATGGAGGTCGGTAGAGGCAGGAGTTCCAGAGAGTTGAGGGGGTCTCTGTGTGGAGCGGATGGGTGGTGTGGCAGCCTGGGCAAGCCCCTTGCTAGAAGCCTTGCTCTCTCTGCCTCAATCTTCAGCCCCCTCCCTGCTATCAAGCCTTGTCAGGGATGTGCCAGCCACATGACTAGCAACCATGAGTGTTCCAGGGGCATTTTATACTTCCCTAGATCCTCAAGTCCTGGAGCTACTAATTTAATGAAATGTATTGTACTTGGAGCAAATTATTTAACTTCCCTTAAACCTCAGCTTTCCAGCTAAAAGCATGGGTTGGGAGCATCCACTGCATGGGGCCGTTTTGAGAGTTAGATGCAAATACTGATGAAGATGTGGGAGATGCTGGTGCACAAGGAAGGGTCTTGTCCTGGGGTCGTAGGGCACAGACCCCAGGCAGGAGGGAGACGGAGTGGCAGAGGCCAACCAGGCCTTGAGGGCTGGCTGAAGTTCAGGCTGATAGTGCCGGAATGACCAGTTGGTCATATGATGCATGCATTTGCATAAGTTTGATTACTCCACACTCGCTCCTCTCAAATTCTAGCAGAATGATTTCACCCCTTTGAAGAAGTTGTGCTATCATTTTTATTTTATTACCGCCAGTCCCAGGCTTTAAAGGAACTAAGATGTTAGGCGAATTTTTAGAGATCTTAATTTGTAATAAATTAGACCAGATGGAAGCCACACTAACACGCTGGGCAGGATCAGAAAGTGAACACGGGGCGGGGTCAGCGCTGACCTCTCCAAGACCCTCCAGCCAAGGGCTCTTTGGACAGCAGGGGCAACCACAGCTGCGGGCGGGGGGGGGATGCTTTTTAAGTGTCTGGGGGGTCTCAGGAGTTCCATGCAAGCATGGCGGGGTTGGGGGCTACTGGTAAATGCCCCCTGCGGCCTGGGATACAAGTAGGGTGGAGAGGGAGAGCCTGCAGTTGATTGTCCGGGGGTGGGTGGGCACAGGCGTGTGCAGGTGTGTGTAGTCCCAGAGGTCCAGGGCTGCAGCTCTCAGCTCACTGGCCAGTGTGCGTCTAGCCACGTCTCCTGGGGAAGATCTTGAAGCGGGAGGAGGAGAGCCCTGCCTAGGCAAGAGAGTCAGCTCCGGGGCCTGCCGCAGGAAGCCTGGTCCCGAGCCTGCAAGTCCGGGCGGTTCTCCCTCCTTCACAGGCGAATAACTCTATCTACTTCCTTCGAGATAACAGAGCAAAGAAGAGCCCAAGAGGTGCGAGCACCCAGCAGCCACACAGGACCTGTATGGTTGCCGCTTCCCCAAGTAGGCGTTTAAGGCAGCCTGGGCTGGGCTGGTGGTGGCGGGGTCCCTTCCCTCCCGGAGCCACTTCCCACCCCGCGCGCCATCACCTCCGTGGCCACGCAGGCCTCGCTGCTCACCCCCGCCCCTCTGCTGCCCAGTGTGCGTCCCTATTAGACGCATTAGCTGGCCCCGAGGCTCCGGTTACAGACGTCTGAATGACAAAGTGCCTCCATTACCGGCGCGACTTGCCCGCCGGACCGCCGCCGGGACGCGCGCTCTGGTTTCAGCGCTCTCGGGAAGACGCTCCGGCGGCGGCGGCGCTGCGCGATGACGGCCGGTCCCGAGCGGCTCCGCGCCGAGACGCAGGCCGAGGCCAAGGCCAAATCCGCAGCGGCAGCCGGCGGTCGATGCTGCGCGGGGTCCACCGTCCCAAGCCCGCCGACGCCACGCTCGCCTCCACTCTGGAACACCTGCTCTCACCCACGCCCTTGCATCTTCGGAGCCCGACGGCAGGCCACCCCGAGCCCGCCTCCATCCCCACCTCCGGTCCACCTCCCACCCACCACGGCCGAGAAGCCGCCCTCGCCCGCCGGTGGTGTTAACTTACACGCGTGGCTGAGCCAAAGGTACTGCCAGCCCCAGCCAGTCGGGCCGAGGTGCGGAGCTGGGCCAGCACCCTCGAGAGTCTCTGCCCAGTCCACTCTCCCGTCCCGCCGTTTGCTCGCTTGCCTCTAGGGGTGCTATGTACCCCGCCCGGTCGTGAAGTGCCCCTCTCACCCGGGGTTGGGACGCCCGGCTGCCAACTTAGGAGGTGGGGGCGGTACTGAGTAGGTGAGAGGCCGTCCAGCCTGAGAATCCTACTCTCAGAGCTAGCCATAAAGTGGGGATTGGTGGCCCCCTCCATGACTTGCAGGCCGGCCACAGGCCGGGTCGTAGTCTTGAAGGTAGGGTAGGAGCCTCTCAGCGCCTCCACACCCCCCAACCTGCCCCGAGATGCTGCCTCGGAGCGCCGGGACTGGGAGTGGGGTGGGGTGGGGGGAAGGTGTATAATCAGCGAGCCCCTCTCGTCCAGAGTCCAGCAGCTTCTACCCAAAGCCGGTCGGGGCGGAGGGGGATGGATCCCAGCCCGCCTAGGCTCGGATGCTGGGAGTGCGTAACTTAATGCGGGCGGTGTGCTGCCCTGGGACGCACTAGGAGCAAGCCCTCGCCCCTGCAGCGCCCTCTGCGGGCTACCTCCCCTCTGCACGGCGCGGCGCTGCGCTCTGACCCGGACGGGCTCCGCCTGGTGCAACACCGTGCGCTCCTCACCCCAGACGCAAGACACCCACTGCGCTCCTGCCCACTGACCGCACCCCGCTTCGGCTGCGAGAGAGCGCGCGTTGGAGGAGCTCGCTGGCTATCGAGGGAACCTGGAAAGTGGCTTCGCCTCGGCGAGGTGGGCGCTCTCTTCCTAGTCCCGGATCTGCAGGCGCAATGCCCGGAAGGGGTGAGGCTACCAGAAAGAGAGCCTGGGTGGGCATGGGACACGTCCTCCGCTCCCTTCTCGCACTACCGCCCTACATGCCCTTTTCGGCCCACTTCTCTTTGGTTTCTGTTTCTCTACCTCTCTCGTCGCTACCCACTATCACTCCCAGTCCCACAACTCTCCCGCTCCCCAAACCGCCTCCCCGACGTCCCCCCCCCATTGTCTAGACGACCCCCATTGTCCGTGCCAGATCCCTTTGCCTCCAGTCCGTCCAACCTCCTCCCATTGTTTCATCCCCACGACTCCCGTCCCCGCCCAGCCCCGCATCTCCAGGGCCCGTTCCACTCCTCCTTCAGGCTCGCCATGGGTCTGTCCCGTGACTCTCAGAGAGCAAGATGCTGGACAGTGGGTGGGGGTCGGAGCAAGTCCCCTTGGGACTCCCGCATGCAGGTGCCTTCCCAAGTACGCCGCTGCGCGAGGCCCCCTTGACCTCCTGAGATCCCTCGCTAAGACCAGCGCCCGTGCACTGGTCTTGCTCACACTGCCTGCAGAAAACCCTAGACGCCCCCCTGTAGATCCGTCCCCCACCCCAGGATCCTGGACCCCATCGCTCCGCTTGAGTTCCTAAGTGGAGACGGCGCCCGGCTCCCCTCAGTTGTTCGGATCCCTCCCGCTGATAACTCACCCCCTGGAACAGTAGCGACAGCAACAGCAGCAGGCGCGATCGGTCCATGGCGCAGCCAGCGGCACCTGTCCCGATCGCCGGCCTCTCGCAGCAGCGCTCGGCTTCAAGCGCGGTCCGCTCTGCTATCGGATAGGGCTGCGCCGTGCTGCGCTCTTCGTGCCCTCCCGCCTGTGCGCTGGAGCTGGCCGAACCTCGGCTCGCTCTGGCTGCTGGCTGAGGGGCTGAGTGAAGCCAGTGCGGCGGCCCCGCCTCCTCCCCGCCCATCCCGCCCACCCCCGGAACCGCGCCCGCCCGCCCCGCCGCCTCGGGGTGGTGGGTAGGGGTAGGATGATGGTGGAGGGGAGAGAGCCGCGCCCGGGCGCCCCGCAGCCGCTTCCCCATGCCCTGGTCCTCGTAGGTTCTCTCCCGCCCCGCCCCGATCCCCAGCACCTGGCCAGTGCAGCTGTGCTGGGGTCCTGGATGCCTTAGATCCAGGGCCCAGGGTGTTCTCGCCCGCGGCTCCGGTTCCCAGGCTACGGCCCTCCTCAGGGTTTTCTCTCTGGCGCATCTGCCTATTACTTCGGCTTCTCTCCAGCGGCGCATCGCTCCCTACCCAGTCCTCCTTCTCAGCTACAGCTCCCACCGCCTCCCTTGCTCTTCACCCCACTCTGTGCCCCGTCCCGCCCCCGCCAGTGTGGGGTGCCCTCGGGGCAAGGACCTATGAGGAAGGGAGAGTGCAGGTTGCCCGGCTGGACGCTATGCAGCGGGACGTTCGGAGTGGAGATGTTTGGAGTGGAGTCTGTGCCCACCGCACTGGAGTCCCTGATCGAGGGTGGGTAGGGGTCACAGGTGTGCACACAGAATACACAGGTGCACCTACCTGTGTATCCCTGCCCTCATGTAGACCTGCACAGTCATACATGAGCGTGAGTGATGTTCAGACACATATGCACCTGCAGCCCCAAGTGCACAGGTACATGTGATCGTGCCTGTGGTGGCTCTCACAGGCACACACACACTAACACACAGAGGCATCCTTAACAATGGACTGCTCTACAACGAGGATTTCCATGAGCTGGTCAGTGCGTGGCAGTGGGCGGTTTTATTTGTTAGCTCAATGATGCACAGGATAGAGCACCATGGAATCAGTTTAACTCAACATTTACCTAAGAACTTGCATTGTGTAAAACACATCCATGTATATATTTTTTTAAAATGCACAGAGGCTGCTCAGTTGGAAGAAAGGCAAGAGATGGAAGGGACGGACTCACTTCCACGTGTCCACTGTGCCCATTGTATAGGCATCCCCAGGACCACAGTGCGCCCGGAGAACCTTGGCAGGTCCAAACCATGGGTCCCACCAATCAGGGGAGTGACAAGCCCTCCACGGCTGAAGGAGTTCCCCCTCACCCGCATGGCCCGGCCCCTACCTCTCGGTTCCCAGATGTGCAGGCCTCTAAGGTGGCCACACTGCTGGGCAGGAGGGAGGGAACATCTCCAGCGCCGGTATCTAGCAGCCTGAGCTTGGGTGTGTCTGAACTCTAGACAGAAGAACCAGGACAAGTTCAGGAGCCCTCGGAGAGCATGTGGGCTGCTAGTAGGCAATTCCCCAGATCAGCAAGAGTATATTCATTCATTCATTCATTCATGCATTCATTCATTCATTCATTCATTCATAGGGGCAGGGATCTGTCCTGTGAATTTCTTTCTAGTGTAATCTACAAAACCCAGGGGCCAGCCCTGAAAGGACAGGAGGCCCTCAAGGCAGTTTTGAGCTTTATGTGTAAGTGGCCAGGGCAGGGTAAAGAAATCCCCCAGGAGTCATTCCTCCCAGACAGCAAGTATTGGCCTCTAAGACTCCTCCTCCTCCTCTTCCTCTTCCCCTCCCCCCTGCTGCTTTCACAGACCTGCCCCCCCACCATACTGAAGGACTGAAAGGGCTAACAGCGGCATCAAGCTGCTTCCTACCCAGGCTATGGATGGCGTGGCATTCATTAAAATATTCCTGTTACTAATTTATGATCCCGGTTACTACCATTGCCAAGGTATCCATCTCAACCCAATTTAATATGACCCACACCACCACGGCCGGAGCGAGGTTATTAATAATTTCCACAAGCGTGATCGCCGAGGCCTGACTTGTACAATGACAAACAGCGATTGTTACTATTATTAGGAGCCTTTCCCTGATGCAGCCTGCGTGGGAGACCACGATGTAAGGCTGAGTGCTGGCTGGGAGAGTAGCTATGCCAGGTGTGGCAGAAGTACCCTCCCTGGAGAGCCACACCTGCCGGGAGGATGCCTGGGCCCCTGCCCCACTACTCCCCGCCTCACCCACCCGCATCACTGTAGGCAGCTTACGCCATTGCTCTCAGCCTTAGTTTTCTCATCTATAAAATGGGAAATCTAAGGGGGTAGGTTGAGGAGCCACGCAGACAGCATAGTGTACATCAAGAGGGACTCAATTTCCTTGCATTTGTTCACTGTATATTTCTTTTCTTTTTGCTTTATTATGAAGAAATTATCTGTTCATTTGAAAGGCAAAATTACATATGTTAGAGACAGATCTTCCATTCACTGGTTTATTCCTCAAATGGCCACAACCACCAGGGCTGGGCCAGGCTGAAGCCAGGAGCCAAGTGCCTCATCCGGCTCTCCCTCATGAGTGCAGGGGCCGAAGCACCTGAACCATCTTTCCCAGGCGATTTGCAGGGAGCTGGATCAGAACTGGAGCACACAAAACTGGAAACTGGCACCCATAGGGGATGCTGGTGCTACAAGTGTTGGCTTAACCTGTTGAGGCAAGTGCCAGTCCCACAGACTGTGTTTCTTGTGCCACAAGATGAGACACACACACACACACACACACACACACACACACACACACACACAGCTCAGGGGCCTGGGGATTCAGCAAGGAACACCAGCAATCCTCCTGGAGTTCTTGTGTGTTAGTGACTTCAGGAGAAGGGGTTTTCTTTAATTTTTGGAATTTATTTATTTAGAGAGAAACAGTTTCCACCTACAAAGTAGCTAGGGGTTCATTTTACACCTCCCAGATAGGTGGCCAGGACCCAGTTCCTTGATGCTCCCCCTCACCGCAGCCACAGCTGTCACAGGTCAGTCACATCAGCATTGCTTCCAGAGCCACCACTCTCACCACAGCCATCGTCCTCACAGCCACCACTGTAATGGCCAGCGGCATGACTGCCAGGGCCACAGTCGTGGACAACACTGCCCACCTCCCTCCATCTGCATCCCTGCCCCGGGGGTCGGCTCCATGGCTTTGAAGCAATGTAGTGATTGCACTGAGCTGACTCCTTCTGGGCCAGATCTGGCTATGCCAATCTGAAGCCAAGAACTTCCTCCAGATCTCCTACGTGGATGCAGGGTCCCAAGGTTTTGGGCCATCCTTGACTGCTTTCCCAGGCTACAAGCAGGGAGCTGGATGGGAAGTGGAGTTGCCGGGGTTAGAACTGGCACCCATATGGGATCCTGGCGCGTTCAAGGCGAGGACTTTAGCCATTAGGCCACCGCACCAAGCCCCACATAACTCATTCAAACATGAGTGTCAAAGACCTCATTTCCCCCAGGTTTTGTGGTTTGGAACAGGGGTGCTCCAGTCAGGGCAATGCTGTACCCCCGTGACAGGGCACGGGAGTGGGGAGCAATATGGAGATGCTCCTCGCTTGGTCTCCCTTATTGATTCCCAGGGCCACCATTCCCTGCCTTTCAGCCCAGTCTCTCCCCTCATCTCTAGAGCACATGTTCCTTTCTGGCGTGTTCCTCCTGTAACCCACTTGTTGTCCTGCCCAGCCCTGAAAGACTGCACGGTGGCTCTATGGTTCAGGATTCAGTTGTCTCATTCATGTCATTCTGGCAGCAATGTGGCACAGTGGATGAGGCTGCCACCCAAAGTGCTAGCATCCCACATCACAGCATCCGTTCTAGTTTTAGCTGCCCTGCTTGTGATCCAACATCCTGCGGATGCACTCAGGAAGCGGTAGAGGATGGCCCAAGTACTTGGACTACTGTTACCCAGGCGAAAGATTCAGATGGACCTGGCGCAGCCCCAGCCATTGTTGGTCGTTTGGGGTAGTGAACCAGTAGGTGGAAAACCTCCCTATGTTTCTCTCTCAGCTACTCTGCTTTTTCAAAACGTAAAGTAAATGATGATTTAGAGAAACACTCAGTAGGACTAGACTGTAGTGGTGGCAGCGTGCAGTCAGCGGGTGGGAGGAGTAGAGGAGGAGCTGACTTAAGACCCGGGTGTTGGCGTGCCATTCATTCGCTTTGTGGCCTTGAACTGGTCGCTGCTTTCCTCTGACTCCCCCACCACCAATTTTCTTATCATCACCATCAGATGCCAATCTTACAGCCACTTTGAGGAATCAAGGAGGGTGCTTTGAAAGTACAGGGAGCTGCAGAGCTGGAAGTTCATCTTGTCTTATTTGTTGCCGCCTGAGGTGATTTCTGGCCCATAGGGTTGGGGATGATGGGTGAGCTGACATTTCAGCCCTAGAGAGACTGGGCTTGGGTCCTTCCTGCTGCAGATAAGAACCAGACCCCCAGGACTCCAGCGGAATTCCCACGGGAATCACTGGGGGTGGAGGCATCCCAGGCCCCAGCTTATCTTCACTCCAGCATGTCTGGGAAGTGGGGTCAAGTGCAATTGTCTGGTTTGGTCTCCAGCAGGGGAGAGTGAGGGGCATGGGCTGCAGGGCCTGCCATCGTTGTGGTGAGAAGAACAGAAGGCACAGTCACCAGTTCCCCGCCCCTCCACCCGCCAGCCCAGCGGCTCCAGTTGCTATCTGAAAGCCGTCCTTCCTTCCGGAGGGGCGGTAGGGGGCAGGGCACACACAGTGAGGGGAGTATACAGGGCCTCTGCCCTGGAGTCCCCCAGAGACGGCGACTCTCTTCGGGGCTACAGGGAGGTACTTTAGTGTTGCTATGCTTTCTTATGCCTGTGCCCTTAGAGGAGAAGGGGGAGCCAGCTACAGTCCCTAGCCAGCTCCTGGCTGAGGGGTTCCACCACCAAGCGGCAGCATCTCCCTGGAACAGGAGCATCTTGGCTGACACGCCCTAGCCCAGCAGTCAGATTTCAGATGTAGAAGGCAACCCTGAGGTCAGCTACAGATGGGGAAACTGAGGCCCAAGGATGTGAGCCAAGTGTTCCAAGCTGCTGGCAGGGCAGCCACCAAGAAAGGGATGGGGGAGTG